AAATACATTTTATACGCAGTTTACATAATTTCAAGAAATAGAAGTTCATGTTTGATAAAGACTCATTACATAATATGACTGAAATATTTCTTTCATTTATTATTAGTGGTTCGCAAATAATACATTTAATTTTGTGTCACAATTTTGTAAACGTTAATTAAAAATGATGATTATTATTCAGAAGCGAAACTAATAGTTTATGTGTTGGAGATGTTTAGCTACATAATTAAATGAATATGCAAATAAGTATTTATTATTAAATTGATTGCAGTTAAGTGTGTTCGTAGCGTTTGTTACCAGAATTTTGAGTTGTCTAGAAAAAATCTTGTTTGTAATAAATTCTTTACAAATGCTTTGTACAAAATAATTGTTTCCCATTTAGTTATGTTTTCCTACGAAGATTACAAAACACGCCTATTTTTTTCAGTAAATTCATTAAAATTGCTTTCTATTAATGTTTAGCGCGATCTTTAATAAAATATTAACTGTAGAAATTTAGTAAACATCCTTTTTTCTAAGAAGTAAAAAAAAACAGAAATGAGTTATTAGACTTAATAAGGTATTCATTTGCTATTGTGGAGCACTGAATTAAAATCTGAATCAAGAAAACTTAAAATTAAAGCTCGTGGCATGTATAAATATGTCACAACATTTTAAAAACGAATTTGGTTTCTTTCCAAAATATTACATATTTTGTCTGTCTAAAATTACAGCAAAGTAAATCTTTTTTAAATTGCCAAACTATTACAACATCCTTTTCTGTCAGACTTCTCTTTTTTAAAATTCTGATCCACAAAATCCGTATATTTCTTTACCATCAGGATATAATCAAATAGAAACAAATTTATTTATTTGGGAGAGAAAATGGTTCTTTTTAAAATTAACCCACAGAAAATGATATTTGCAATATTTTACAGTATTTAATGTGAAATGCTACAAAGAATTGAAAAAAGTTCTTCAATATTTGTACAATTTAGCAAATAATATAGTTTAATTTCAGTCATAATCTATGAAAAAATAAATATGTAAAATTTTCAATTTATACTGCCAATTGGCATCTTCAAATCTGTTGTCTTAGAAAACAGCACATATATGTTATGCTTTACCTATGTATGCGACTGTTCATGTGATAAATTGGTTAGTATGCTTAATAATATCAATTATCAATTATTAAGTATTTATAGCAATCAATATGGTTGGCTAATATGATAAAATGGTTAAAATATTATATTTGTGTGTGAATAGTATTCGCATAATACCTGACACAATCAGCTAATCTGATAAATTTCCTCCAATATGTATTATTCATGACATTAACTAAACATTAACTGGTTATTATTCATGACAACCATGCTATTTTTTTTAAATTTAGTTGGAGTGATTAGTTTATGCAAAATAAATAAGTTTTTATATGTAACGAATGTGACGCAAGTTAGCTTGAGAACTTTTGTACAAGTTTTAACCGGCTAGTTAAATAAGTTTAATAAGTAGCGAGTTAAATAAGTAGCGAAATCTTGTATAAAACAATCACCTTTAAAATCAGAATTGAAAAAAATAGAATCGAAATATTTTATGGGTGATATTATCCAAAAGAAAAACTGTAGTAAATATTTAGTTTTTAAAAAGCGTAACTGTAATCTTCAATAATATAAAACGATTGATATTGATTTGCTTTACCAAAAAAGATCGAAGAAAAACATTTTTATAGCTGTGTTATAATTGAAATAGATAGCAGGAAATAATATAAATAACTTATCCATTACTTAGATTTTAAATAAAATATTAATTAGTTTTAAAGAAAATAACGCAGATCTTTAACATTAAAATGAAATGAAACAGATTATAATAATGAATACTTTCTCTTAGATTTAATTATTTCTCTCACATCAAATATAAATGAAAACAATAATAATAATGAATACTTTCGCTGCAGATCAAAATAGAGTGTTTGCTTTATTTTACGGCGAGGTTTCAAACGTGAGGCGATGCTTTTGTTGTAAATACACTAACTACGGTAGCAAGGTATGTTTTTATATTTCGTCATTTTATTTTATGCTAGTGAATTAGAACAGCATATTAATTTAGGCCATGTATGTAAATAACCACTTGGAATTTTCCACACTCTCAGTTAACTTGACGAAAACTTTACTTAGCTATTATCAATACTAGCCAGATAATTTTTAAAAAAATGCTTTAAATTGATTTTTTTTTCTTTTTTACTATTTATGTTAATCTGATATTATGCATAATAACCATATTTATCGAATTAACATCTTCCAACAGAATGCCTGTATGGACTGATTATGCACAATGGATCATTATTTCGAAAAAAAAAGATATGCAACTAGTAGGTAATATGTCTATTGTATCATTTTCATATATTACAATTCACAAACACAATATTTATACACATTTATATATTCATGATATTGATTCATTAAATAGTAATCACTCGAATAATTTGAATACATTGAATAAATAATTTTGCTATCAATAAATATTAATGTATACTTTGGAACACAGGCATTTTCACATTCTTCAGAACATTACGAAACTTTCATTACATATTATTTTAGATTCATCCAAAACAACTTACATGTCAACAAAAAGTGAAAAAATTCAAATCCTAATGATTACAAAGATTATGAGGAATGCACTACAATATATGCACAGCGGAAAACTATAATATACATTGAATTAAAATAATCAGTGTATATATCTTTGAATAAAGTTCGTTTCCTACTGGATTGTGTTAAGTATATTTACATTGTTGAGGCAGTCTTCTCAGAAAAAGTATATATCTGATAAAATTTTTAAAAAAAATTAATTAAAAAAATATAACAACTGTAAATCAATGTAAGGAATTAGAAGTTGATAAAGATATATATGAAAAGATGTTGAATAAGTTGATACGGATATAATGCTCCAGTTCATATTAAAATAATACGCATGTATTATCTGTAGAATGTTCACAATGCAGCAATTAGTTTTATTATAAAGAAATCATGAAGATAATTTTCAAGATTAAAATAAATAAATAAAACTTGTAAATTTTGTTTTTTTAAACTGGTCAACAGTTAAAAAAAGGAGATATGCTTGGTTGTGTGGTTGCTTAAGTAGATAGATGTCTTTAAATCACATTAGACGAAACACTCAATCATACGATTTAGGTGAGAGGATACAGAAATTAAAGAAACACTTAAATCAAGAAAGAAAATCAATAGATAATACTAATAGAAATAACAGAAATAGAATAGAAAAAAGCTTATTTTAAATAAAATACAACTTAAAAAAATTTATGTGATATTACTGATATTACCTAGTCGATATACTTCAAATATTACCGATAACTGTTGAAAATGATTTCATTCATAATAAATCATCATCGACCACAAGGAATATCGAATCATGACATTGTGGGAATAGTATCGATAAAGATAATTAATCGAATAAGATTATATAATCAGTGTAGGTAAATTTGGTAACTTAACACGATAAATTATTAAATATCGATATTTTTGACGATGTATTATGATATAAAAATTTTGATAAAGTTCGATATCGCCCAGTGTTATTGAAGATTATATTTATATACCAACTATTTTGTTTCACACATTGACAAACATATATAATGTTACTTTCAGGTCAATAAAAATAATAAATAAACATTATCTTAAAATGTATTATGCAAACAATAGTTACTTTTTTTTAAATTCACATTGTAACAAATATTTACACAGCAATCACTTACACACGAAATATAGTATACACGAAAATTAAGTAGTTTTAGAAACTCTGACATTTGTCAGGCTTATATGATATCTATTTATCATTGTAAAATATTCAGAAGTGTGATTAACTTCAAGTCCATCTCTTAATGGTATTTTTATCATGGATAAAAGTTCTTTAAAGCTGTAAGAGAATCCATGGCTTTTATGTAGCACCCAGAAGAAATTTAGATTCCTCATATACGCCACACAATTGTTTAATAATGGTTGAATAACTTCCCTCGACGACTAGACAATCTTTCATTCTCAGTAACATGATGATTGCAGTTACCAAAGAGTATAAGATCGTAGCAACGATCAATACAGTGATAGATTAGATATAGTGAGTCGCATAAATATCATGAAGATGTTCCTTTCCAAGCACAGAATAATACGACTAATTATTACTGAATACTTGATAGTATTTTGTGGTCCACATGAGTTAGTAACACATTACAGAAGACATTCTATTTTGTAATATTCGCTCCTTAAACATCCAATTTATGCGTAACCTCTTTAGCTTTTAAGGAAATATTCAAAATAATTTTAGATAAAAAGATCTTTAATTTATAACTCCTGTGTAATTTTCTATCATTATAGTTATTTTAAAAGTAACTGCTTACTATTTAAAAAAAATATAAGGTTTACTGGAATAAAACCACCTTTTTTGTATATTTACAGTTCACGAATTCTTGAGCAAGTATAAATTAAAAATTATTAAGCATTCTTGGTTTATGAATAATAACGTATATCTAGTCATATAAAAAGTATAAAAAATTAAAAAGATCACTCGACTGTTGCTAAAATGCTTAGGAATTAAATTATTTTTTAAAACTTATTTTTTAAAAAATAGCTACCTTGAAATAAGAAGACATTAAGAAGTTTTTACTGTGTAAATTTATCATAAAATGTTTATTTTCATATACAGATTCCTACGAACATTGACTTAAGTGTATGTTTAAAAACTCCATTTTTTTTCTTTGACTTGATAGAAACAACAAAAACTTATCAACACATCTTAATAGAATTCCTCAATAATTCCAATAATATTTTATCAACTTTTAAAAATTTTATTGAAGATAAAAATAACTCATCCGAAACAGACAAGAAAAAGTTTTTTTCCATCTATTTAATTTTTCAAATAGCAGTCATTTTATTAAACAATAAGGAATTTTCATAAAAAAACCTAATGACAATAATTGACATATTATTATATTGATACAAGCTACGTAAGTATTGATTAGTTCTTTTATGCCGTTCGTTAAAACATGAGTAGATAAAATCAAAATATCCGAAAAGATATTTAAATAGCATTTAGTTGCAATTAAAAAAAGTTCGTAATTAAAAAATTTAGTTACAATTAAAAAAAGTTAGTAAAACTCAAGCCAAAACTACGTACAAAGACAATATTATTCTTAAGAAGATACGCTGAAATTTGGACAGAACAAAACAGTAGAAAAAAACTAAACATCTACATTTTCTTTGGGAGACATTAGTAACTACACAGTTAGAATTTTCATTTTAAAATTATAGTAAAGTAACCGGTAGCAGTCTGTCCACCCAATCAACCGTAAGATTTACGGTAAAGAAATTTTTTTACCTTTACTGTTTACAACTAGTTCACAGCTAGTATGATTTCAAAACCGAAAAAAAAGAAAAAAAGAAATTTAACTGGACATTGGAACTATTCTTTTCATTACGTAATGGGCATTGAAGTTAGGTTGCGGTCAAATTATGTTTTATCAAAATAACCGCGGAATGTGAAAGCGAGCATCTTATTCTAATAATCCAGGGTCACAAATTGGAGAGTGTGAGACACTAGAAACTCTTCACGCGTCTAAGGAATGGGAATGGCAGAAATAGTGTGCTGTCAACGCTGGAGCTCCAACTCCCGTTCCGTCGATCATATATTCAATCACAGATTAGCGACAGATTATCTCGACTATAATTTGTGCCCAGTTTCAAGGAACTAAGTGGCTATGCTAGGTGAGTCTATTTATTGCTATATAATTCTGTTTGTTTAACGTATTTGAAAAATCAGTTAAGTAACGGTTTTTCTCAAAGTTAATAGTTTAAATAGCATCTTTTGTATAGTTGTATGGCTGTTCTGTTTGAATATGATAAAATAACAAAATAAATTTTTATTTAACCATTTTTTTTGGAAATTTCTAACAGTGTGATTTTATGTCGTTGCACAGCAAAAACTCCTTAAAATGAATTGTATAAGAAAAGTATATGATTTTAAAATTTTAAACAGAAGTTGAACATTCTGGTAAAGGTGGTAGTCGTTTTTTCTCGGGATCATCTAGTCATTTTATAGCTCTAACACCCACACCATCTATGACGGTAGTATCAGCGTGATTAGTAGGGAGAGCTGTTTGAATAGTATTGGTTGGATTTTTTGTGCACATGGCGAATGATTCGGTTCCTTCATTTTTAGCCCCATTTCTTCCAATGGATGAGGAAGAACTCATACAAGCAGCGAATATCTCCTTAAACTCTTTTTTGAAATTTTCATTTAGCCAACCATAAAGAAGTGGGTTTGAGCAAGCTGAACTCATACCAGCCATATGGCAACATGCAAATACCACACGGAAAGTCGAAGTGTCAGAGAAAGGATAAAAGAAATCAGATATAATATTTAGAATGTTCAATGGAAGCCAGCTCAAACCAAAAATAAGAGCTATAGAAATCAAAAGAATATTTGTTTTCCTCACTCGCTTTTTGTCTCTAGCTTGTTTTTCCTGAAGTTTAGTACCCTTAGTAACCATGCGATATTTCAACTTTCGGCAAATTCTAGCATAAGCAACACTTACAATTATTATAGGAAGTAAGTATTGAAAAAACATTGAGAAAACAGAATAATATCCTCTTCCGCGCTCTAATGGCCAACGTTCAATGCAGTAATCTACCGATTTGAACCAAGGTAAGTTTACTTGAAAGTGTACAACAGTTCTGAAGATGAACAGAGGTAATGCTAAAAGAATAGCTACGAACCAAATTATGAATAGTATCATGGCTGCGCGCAGTGGACGGCAAGTGTCTTGAGTGGGATAAATTATTACTTTGTAACGATCTAACGCTATCGCCGTTATGCTGATCGTGCTTACAAATATACTCGTTGCTTGTAATCCAGCAACTAATTTGCAAGGTAAAACACCCAGCGGCCAATATTTCATGACTATTTCAACCAACGAAAATGGCATTGTGAACAGGCATAAAATTAGGTCGGATATTGCAAGATTTATAATAAATACATTGCGAGCTGTTCTCATGGTAGGTTTTCTTGCCACGGCGATACAAACTAAACCATTACCACTTGCACCAGTAACAATCAGTAATACATAAGCTATCAAAAGAGCTATAAGAGCACCATCATCAATCGATCTGTTATTCAAATATGGCTGCAACCGCTTTAGCAAGTTACTTCTTGATATGTTTTCAGTATGATTCCCAAGACCTTGTATTATTATTCTATCTCCTGTGATATTTTCTGGTATGAGGTCAAATGGAATGTACATTTCTTCGTCTGGAATTTCACTTCCAAAGCCTGGAACCGACTCCATATCTGAAAGGAAAAAAACATAACTTTTACATCGTGTTAGGTAAATGAAAATTAATTCAATAAAAGCTTGTATCTCTTGATACAGAATTGAAATATCTACTGCCTTCTATTTCCTTAAACTGTACAAAATTTTTTGCTGCTATTAAGTAGTTATTTAGTGCTGTTATTAAGCAATTGTTTTGTTGATTTAAATATTTATCATGGCAGTTTTCTAATTCTTCACAGACAGGAAATTTTAATCTCTACTTTCACAAGAAGGAAAAATTTCGTGTAAAATCACCGTACTGCTTGATAATGACATTTCTAATTTTAAAGAAAAGCCATAATTCTGATTAACAAAACCAAAATGTATGGCATTTATTATGGGAAGGTAATTCCTGATAATTTTCCCGTTTATATGGTAAAGGTTAACAATATTTTGACTTTCCAAAATACAGTTATAATTACCACACATTTTGTAAAATGAATGAAATTGAAAATTAAATAATGGTTTTTATGGTTTAATGGTTTTTATGCCTTACTCTAAGATTTCATCACAAAATTACCAAACATTTGCCAACTTTTATCACTCATTATAAAACTATAATTTATTGTTAATTTTGCCAAAATCATTAGCAAAGCACTCGTTTAAAATTACCGAGCTTTTTGGTATTCCCATGGAACAAGAAATACTTTAAATTTTGCCATATTCTGGAAGATCATACTTTTTTTCTCAATGAAGATGGTTTCAAATACCCATTTTTGTTTTCTCTTGACTCATTCATTGAATACTGTGTTTTATATCAATTTCAATTTTCTTTCCCTAGACTTAATTCAAAGTAAATTCATATTTTACGAAGTAGTTTATTTGTAAAATACTAAAATGAATAAAAAGATTTCTTAATTTACAATATCTTTTATGTCATACATTTTTTTTTTTACAAATTGAAACTAAAAACATTATATGATTTTGGTTGCAATAAGAGTAGTAATAATGTATTTGTCAGACAAATATTAGTTGAATATGAATATCCTATCCTAAAGGATTAACTTTTGCTTCAACAGGCATTTACATGGGTCTTAAACACAAAATTTCAACCAACAATGCCTGTGAATTTAGAAAGTCATCTGTTTTTCCAATATAAATTGTGATAGCGTGGACTTTTGGGATAATTGCTAGGATTAATTCTTGATCACCAACTATACACCTGTAAGTGTAAATTTAGTGCAGTTTAAAAATTGAATTTCATTTACCAGCTAATTTCTGCGTTAAAAAATAATTTTTATTATGAAAAATGTCACTTGTAAGGTCTTGTAAGGTAAAGCAATTTCATAAGTTTCTACAAACAATTTAATAATAGTATTGTGAGAAATGAAAAAATAATTTTAAATAAGAAAAAAAATTATTCGAAATCAAACATATTAAATCAATAATGAAAACATAAAAATATTATATCAAATGTAGTAGACAAATTTATATTAAAGTGAAAAGTCCGAAAAAATTTCATTGCTTACGTAAATATTTAAAATCAATGTTAAACTCACAAAAAATCATGCATTTATAGAAGTTAAAATGAATTTAAAAACAATAAATATGTCATTTGATCTAATTCCAACTAAACTAATAATTCTTGTGACTAAAAAGAAAAATCGAAATTTTTGCAAATAAACAGCGAAAGTCACAAATTTTATACATATTGTGAATGTCATAATTGCAATTTAACCACATAAAACAACAACAAAAAACTTCACAGAAAGAAGCTTCTCCATGAGCTCATGATGTCTCCTTGTTTTATAGCTATTTTTAGATGTGTTTCCTGTGAAACATTAAAGGAAATGGTTTTCTTTAAGAACCTTTCACCCTTAGCAACAAAAATGATTCGAACGTGATAGGAATGCCGAAATCTGTCTTAACCAGACCTTTAAGTGAGAAATCAAAGTGAAAAGTCTTGTCAGGTGTTATCCAGATTTACTGAATGTGATCAAAGGGTTAAAATGTTCTTTTACGGTCTCTAATTTATGCCTTTTACTTTTAGTGTTAATAATAACAAAGAAAAGAGATGATTCAAAAAGAGAATATCCTAATTAATCTGTTACCTAATGTCAGTAAATTGACTGAACGCAACAAAAACATTCAAAGTTAAATATTTTTAAATATACGTGAATATTTTTATTTAAGTATTAAAATTCTCATTTTATCATAAAATCTCTATTCTTGAACAAGTTTTATTACTGAGATAGGCTTATTATTTCAGTTAGTAATTATTATTTATCTTTACACATGTATTTAAAGTTTTCTTTAAAGCTTTGTTGCAGAGAAAACAAACAGTAACATATATTACAGCTTCGCAAAATTGCTCTTAAAATTTTATAAATAAAATTTATGTAAATAAAATTTATATAAATAAAATTAAATAATCTCTTAAGTGAATTAATTAAATTCCCGTTCAAACAAATAAGTATTATATTATTATTATTATTATTTAGTTTTTAATTCGATGTAAGCTGAAAACGTTTTCGCTTGAGTCTATTAGTTGTTAAGCGTTAAGTCAAACTTCAGATATTTAATAATACTTGAGTTATTTTTCTCAATAACTCGGCTCGGGTTTAAAAGATGAGAATTTAACTAATATAATTTGTAGGCTTAGCGTTTCCACTGACTCTCAGGGAGTAAAGTTATATCATAAAATCTTGAGCTCCTTATTCTGTAAAAACTTACTCCTAATTTGGCAATCAAAATGTGTCTGATGGACTAAGAATAGTATACAATGAAAGAAACTATCTTCTTTTTCCCATTTTACCGAATTTATCTTTACAATTACTTTGCCCGACAGTTTCATTTGCTCTACCATCTCGTTTGTACGATAGTTTCATTTACCCGACAACTCAATAGCTTGACAGTACATTTGCCCGAGAAAAAAATTTTATGTATACTAACTGACAAAAGTATATGATCAAAATAATCATTAATTTATTAAGAGAACTAATAATATAGCAAATATAAATTGAGAAATTGCTGCGAGAAATATTACGTAAACGTCAATGAAAAAGAACAAAAACTACAATGATCACTTGAAACACATTTATAGAAATTTTTAGAATTAATCGTAATTTTGGTAGGTTCTAACTCTTTTGTTAATTGAGGGAAAGTTTACTACCTACATAAACAGCTCTTAAATTTCTCTCAAGTATTCTTGCCAAAGTAGTCAAGACTATTTTCCCAAGCCTAGTTTGAAGTGCTTCCGAGAGGAAAATGTCTACAGTTATTTCAGAAAATTCATGCATCTTTTCGCACTCAAAATTTTCTTACTTGTCCTTACTGTTGGGCATATGTATTGTCGGTCAAACGTAGCAGTTGGAGAAAACGGAGTTCGACCTTCGAATGGGCAGGAGCTTGAATATTGGGCAGAATCGAATCCGATTTTAAAATTAAAAATTATGAGAAAATATAATCATCAATAGATTAAAAAATTATTCAAATCATACATAGAAAATAAAATAAAAACTCCTACACCTATATTTCTTGTTTATTGTACAATGATAATAATGGAATTCTATAAATTCCCTTAGTCCATGTTTTATTGGAGGCTTAATATATTGATCAAAGAACACAGTTAAATAAACTCAATTATATGACAAAAGTCAATCATTCCTCTTCGAATTCAAAGCAGAAAGTAAATCGGAAAAAATAGAAAATTGATAGTAGAATAATTTTATTTCGATATTGTTTGCGAGACGAGTAAAATTTCCATGACTACCAAGATTATTTAAAATGTTTCTTAGCTTAACTTTTAAAATTAATGAAGATAGATGAATTTTTCCTTAAAACTTTTTTACTAGAGAAATGATTTTAATTTTCATCTTGAAAAAAGTACCGATTTCAATATTAACTTATCGAATAAGATTTTTTTCATTATTATTACCAATCATATTCTTAGATTTTACAGAAATAATTCCAATTATAAGGAATTTTTACAAGAGACTGATGAATTTAAAACTTATCTAAATAAAAAATTTTCTTCTTAAAAACAACTCATTCTTACAATTTAATTTTAACAAAATTATACACAATTAAGGACATTTATTTTTTTATTTCTGATCATAATATTAGCTTAGATTCACTTTTTAATGTAAAAACTAGTTATGATAAGCTATTCCTAAAGCCTCTGGACGGAATAGTTTGGATGTGTGACTATGAAAAAAAGAAAAGAAAAGTATTAAAATAATAGGTTACGTAAATTATAAGATATACGAAAGATGAATTAAATAAAATATTGTCGTAGAATTACAGTATAAAGAACCTGCTCTTTGGGTGCATCATCCGTAAAATCAATTTTTATCATTAATATTATACCGTAATTTTTACAGTAATGTTTATTTAATTAGAGTGAATCAGTGATTTTACTGTAACTAATACTGTAAAAACTACGGTATACCAGATTTTTTGCTTCGTCACATGTTCCGTTTAAAATATATTTTTCAGTGAAAAGTGTCGGTACACTCTAAAAATTGTACCTCTGATTTCAGAGGCACATTTGAATCATTTGTGCCTCTGAATTTTAAGGGCACAACGTACCTTTAAAAATGAAAGGCACAATGTACCTCTGATTTCAGAGGCAAAATCAGATGTACCTCTTAACTTGGAAGGTACATTGTACCTTAGATTTTGCTTTTATGTACCGCTCATTGAAACAAGCATTTAGTGGTACCAAAACCTGTTATTTACCAGATTTGAACACATTTTTTTTTACCTATTTGTAATTTGCTAGCACTTTATATAAAAAGGGACTTTCTGTTTGGTTTACACTATTACCAAGATATTAATTATAATAATTCTTAATGAAAAATATTTCTCAATTCTTTGAATATTGGCCACTTGAAAGTGATCATTTCAAGGGATTCCATCTAAGGCTTTTTCATAGACAATTATAAAATATGTAAATTTATACCATTTCTTTAATTATGTAGCGTTTAATGATACTTCAACAACTACAATGATGCTTTTCTAATCAGATATAGGTACAAAAAGATAATATTTATTTCTGTTAAGCCAAGTCAATATAATTCATGGATTTTTTTTCTTTTCCAAAAAGCATCCTCAAAATGGAAATTTATTATAAATTTAGATA